GGGGCTTGTTAACGGCGGAGAGGCTGCTCCATGGGCCGCAAGCAGCAGGCACTGGCGGTGGGGCGCGCAGGGAGCGCGGCGACGACAGCAGAGGGAATGCGCCGTGGGCGAGGGCTGCCGGCGATGGTCGTCGGGCGATTGGCGATGTGGATGCGACGACGACGAGATGGAAGAGGGAAGATGGGATGGGGGCTGGTGTGGAGCTGCTTGAGCGCCGTCTAGATCACACACGAACGGTTGGCAAGTCAGCTTCTGCTTAGTGCGGCTGCGGCAACTCTGTCCTGGAGCAGCTCCGGGCGTGATGCAGAGCCGCGATGAGGTTTGATGGAGAGCCTGCGACGCCCTACAGACACGCATTATGTGACACGGCGGGCTGCGGACTGCGTCGAGCATGTCTGGCATGGCCGCATTACTCGTGGGGACCTTCATTGCGACGCTGCTCCGCTGCTGGGCGTGCCTCTTAACAAAGCACCTGAACCCCATCTCTCGTAGGAGCATACACGCCCAGATGGGTGCATCGACCAATAATTGCGTGCATGCAAACGGCGCCATGCAGCGTGCAGCCGCTTCTCGTCTGTGCCGGTCTGCCTGAGTGTCCTCGATTCCGGCACTCTGCTGCTACTTGCTGCTGCCGCCTGAGCATTTCTTATTTCCCTTCTCAGCACCTACAACTCGTCGCTGCTCCGCGTGCCGGGTTGAGGCGTTGCCAGCTTCGGCTAATCTACCACGAGCCTCTGGACCACGGCGGACGTGCGCGTCTCATTTCCTCTCCATCCGGTGGCTGACTCTGTATAAACCGCCATCTCCATCGAGTCTCTCGTGCACGCGACAATGCCAACACGCAGGCACAAAAGCGAACAGGGCAGAATGTTGGGGCTGCAAACGCCCATTGGATGAAGCCTCACCACGACGGTGACGGAAGGCGCGACTATGCCGCGAAGACTCCATCCGCTCTAGCTCCTTCGGTCATAGCGCGGCCCGAGCGTAGATCGCGCTAAAACTCTGGGCGGCATCAATTCTCGAACTTTTTTGCAGAGGCGCATCCACCCCGACGAGCGCAGCAACAACCGCCTCAAATCACCATGGCTTCCGTATACAAGACCTTGTCCGGCGCGGAGAAGGAGGAGAAGGAGACGGGCGTGCAGAGAAACAAGCAGCGTGTCCTTATTCTGGTACGATTTCACGCGCGGCGCAAACCGAGACCCATGCTGATGATTGTCAGAGTTCAAGAGGTGTTACTTTCCGTCACCGACATTTGCTACAGGACTTGTACTCGTTGATGTAAGTGGTTTGTGCGACTAGAGAACTTCATTTACTGATATTTTGAAAGGCCCCATAGCCGGAAAGAAGCCAAACTTGACACCAAGACCAAGCTTTACCAACTCAACGAACTAGCAGAACTCTACAACTGCAACAATGTCCTCTTCTTCGAAGCTCGTAAGGGCAAGGATCTTTACTGCTGGATGTCCAAGCCACCAAACGGTCCTACTGTAAAGATGCACCTGCAAAACTTGCACACCATGGAAGAGCTCAACTTCATTGGCAACTGCCTGAAAGGATCGCGACCAGTTCTCTCTTTCGACGCCGCCTTCGACAAGCAGGCCCATCTTCGCGTCATCAAGGAGCTCTTCACCCAGATTTTCGGCGTTCCCAAGACGAGCCGAAAGGTCAAGCCTTTCGTAGACCACGTGATGGGTTTCACAGTCGCAGACGGCAAGATCTGGATCCGCGTGTTCCAAATCAACGAGAGCGAGACTAGCAAGAAGAAGCCTGCCGATGGCGAGGAGATGGATGTCGACGAGGCGCCCAAGAAGAAGAAGGGAAGCGAATTTGATGTCAACCTCGTTGAGATTGGCCCTCGTTTCGTGCTCACTCCCATCGTTATCCAGGAGTCTAGCTTCGGAGGTCCAATCATCTACGAAAACAAGGAGTTCGTTTCGCCCAACCAGATCCGTTCCGACTTGAGGAAATCGAAGGCCGGCAGATTCAACAAGAGGACCGACGCGCAGAGGGATACCCTGCTCAAGCACCAGGACCTGGGATTGACATCGCACGGTGGAGTCAGGAAAGAGAAGGACCCGCTCAGCGACAATGTGCTGTTCGCGTAAAACTGTTTGCCATGTTTCGAGGGAAGGGAAAATGGCGTTTATGGAATGCATCGTCTTATTTAGATTGGCGTCGATTCTGGGCTGGACAAAAGCCCGTATGTATGTATAGCGATATACCCAAAAGCTATCGTTAATGGGTAGCTCATTGCGAGCGACCGTTAACCCAAGTACTCCTTATCCTTTGGCGATATCAGTGTGTCCTGTCAGCAGTCATGCTCTTCTCCAAGGCTTCTTTATACTCATCATCAACACCACTAACCACTGCCTGTCTGACTCCATACAAAGCCCTAAATGGATCAAGTACCAGCTGTGTCTGCGCATAGTTACTCTCGTCCTGCACGCGATGTACCCGTCCACTAGGAAACCTCACGCGACTAATCGCGCCATCTATGAGATGCACCTGCAGTCGATATAACTGCGGCGCAACAACCAAAAGATCAGCCAGCTCCCGTACTTTACTCTTGATACCAGCCGGCAAACCTCTACCCCCGCAATTATACTTGATCATCCCCGTGTAATCATCCACAGACTCAACATTAACAACATAATTCCTAATCCGCAGCAAGTTCCTCTGCGAGAAGTGATCCAAGAACGGATACGTCCGGTTCGGCGTAAGATTATTCGCCGTGCGCCATCGATACCGAAAGTTGATCGCGTCGAACGTCACGTCAACCAAAAAGGTATTGTCTCCGTATAGCATGTCTGCAGCTTCTTCGTGGACGTGTCGCGACACGGCGAGGAGACTCGTGTGCCCGCGCCGCCAGACTATGTCGTTGCCTGTCTCGCGCTCTGTGCGTGGTAGTGTGCGTTGCATGCGCCAGCCCCCGTCGCCGTTCTTCTGCCGCACAAAGGTCAGATTGTATTCGGACTTTGGGGGTGGGTCGGGAGGGTGCTGGAAACGCACTTCGAAGGTGGTGGTGTGGGGGAGGACGTGGCTGTAGATTAGGCGGCGGAGCTCGATTGGGAGGCGGAGGAGCGGGGATGGCTGGTACGGCGTGGTATTGGTTGAGTGCTGCATTTTGCGCTCGTTATTCTGTTGCATTGGACCCGCAATGGCATGTTGTGAAGACATGCGCATCTTCGTGCGGCATGCCTGGCGCTGCTCATTGACGCCATCGGTGCTCTCCCGTCTCCACGCCGATTGGCCCCCACAATCCGGGTTAGCCCCCCTTGGCGGCATCCATCACGTCCACGGTCGTCACGACTGATGACTCCTTTCCCTCTCTTCAACCACTAACGATGACCTTTCATTCCAGAGACAGCTCGCCAGAGCTTGCATTGACTTGCACCATGTCTTTCCAGAATGTCGTCGCGTTTTCTACTTATAGCCCCAACGGAGGGGTCCGATTTGTTTGAACCACGCGATACGTGTCGGTATAGAGGCGAGATAGCTACGCACCGATTAGATCGATAGATCGATATACGAGACTGAGGTCGAAGGACAGTGAAGAGAGAAGAGATTGATTTGAAATCCGCATCACTATCACGAAAGACAGTTCAGCACCCAACGCGGGCTGAAGACACGCGTAAACTTGAAAGATTACAGGTGAGTTCCATCATACATATCGTGCTGTATGTCTTCTTATATGAATTCATTGCTGACTGGAGATCCAGCCACCAAATCGCTCCCCTACCCTACAACTACCTTCAAGATGCTGTTCGAAGATCTCGCAACGGAGCTTGTTGTGCAGGTGTTCCTATCATGCCGTTCAGTCAACGACGTGACAGCTCTATCTACCACCTGTCGCCGTTTCCGCAACATCTATTCTTCCTCCCAGAAACTACCCATACTCGAAAAGGCCGCCGAAACGCAATTCGGTCCGCTACAAGACCTCACTCAACTCCTGACCCACAACAAAAGCCAGCCTGCACATATTGTCCGCTCCGTTCCTTTCTCTCTCGCGCTGCTCAAGCAGATCGTGCAGCATGGGCGCACAGCTGAGAAATGGTGCGATATATACCCGTTCAAAAAGTGGAAGCACAACTTCGAAAGCCGGCGTCTCTTGACAACGGACGAGCGTTATCTCGTGAGACGAGCAATCTATAGAATATGGCTCTACTCCCGCGCCTTCCACAACAGCGACCACCCACGCGAAGCCCGCGCCTCCCGCCTCGTCCTACTCAAGCGCGCAGCCCTCCTCCACAACTGGAGCACCTGGGAACTCGCCGAAATCGCGGACGTCCACAGCGTCATCCGCGAAGTCGTCCAAAGCAACGTCTGCCCCTCCAACGGCACCATCGCCCGAAAGTTCAAAAAGCGACATCCGGGCAACGAGCACTCCCTGCTCTTCAACATCCACCTCAACTACCCACCCACCGCGCCTCAAGCCTTCAACCCTTTCATGCCAAACCCCCTCTCGACCCACTTCAACAACACACCTACCTACACCTCGCGCTACGCCGCGTCCAAATACTCGCTCCATCCGTCCCACGAAGTCGGTGCTGAAGGCTGGGGTGACGATATCCCACATTACTACGTTATCGAGGACTACATGAAGCTTGATCCGGCTCAGATACTTTATTTGAAGGAACATGCGCCGTTGAAGGGCATGGTGGAGGGCTACGTGAGGAGCTTGTGTCCCGAGTATGATTGGTTTACGAATAATGGGGAGACGTGGGTTGCAACGTTGGAGTTTGTGCTTGGGGAGAGGGGGGAGGATGTGGGCGATTTTATGGGGGCTATTGCGGAGGGGGAGGCGGGTGTTGCTGTTTGTGAGGAGTGATGCTAAGCACGAGGGATCCGGTGTAGCCTGGGCGATTTGTCACATCAGTACTACATCTGCGAGGCTTCAATTCCACTGTGCACTGATGTGGAATAGAATGATGTCATTATCCACAGTGGCCTAATCGCGCCTTCTCAATACACCTCACTCCACTTAGTAAAGTCACTCCCTAATCCAGCATCGAATGCGCAACCACATCATCCACAAAATCTTCTTCCTGTCCATCGTAGTCCTCCAACTCGTCATCAATGTCATCCTTCTTTGCCTTGCTCGATGCGTTGTGCTTCCTCTCCCTTGCACTCTTCAATCGTCTCATCCTACTCGCTGTGCCTGGTTCCATGTCTTCTTCGATATCATCTGTCAGTGCTCTACCAGACTTGGTTCGTTCTCGTTCCTTCGCGCCTCTCCCATCTCTCCAGCTGCCAGCTTGTTTTGTGCTGGCATATTCTTGTGTTGAAAGCTCCTGTTTCGATGACGTGCTCTCGTGCTCTGGATTTTCGGTTGAAGCGAGGCCGGTATCGAGAGTCTCGTCGTCGGAGTCATGTGTGGAACCGAGAGATGGATGTAGGTCAGCTTGCAATCGAAGCGCGAGGACACCACGAGTGAATACATCCCGATCCACCGGTAACTGGTATTTCTTGTGGAACTTTTCGGCCATTTCTTCTGTCACGTTGCCTAGTGAGTTATGTTCTTTGGCTTCATCCGGGTCCCCAGTAGTCTGAGACTGGCGCTTGCCCGATTCGCGCTTCGACAAGGGTGTCGCTGTCCAAGTAGACTCATTTTCAGCCATCTCTACCAACCCATCAGATCTCAACTGTTCAAGCACTGGTTGAAGCTCAGCGACCGAGGTATCGAACGTGGTTGCGAGATCCGATATGTTTTCGCTAACTCCAGGCAGGCTTCTCAGGTAAGATAAAGTACGGTCGGCTAGGTTGTTTGGTGTATCCTCATCCTGGTTGGCATTTTTCTCTGACTGAGCTTTGGGATCATCGCGCTCTTCAGCAATAGCGTTGTCCTCATCTGATGTGGGCTGCTTCATGGACGTGAGAGACTCCGCAGCAAGTTGTTGAGAAGCGAGCGCGTTTCGAGCATCTGCTTCCTGTGCCAACTGCTCCAAATCTGGGTTGCCAATCTCCACAAGACGTAGGTAGTTCTTCTTGAGCATAGTAGGTGTCTTTGTACCCATGTGATTCGCCATTGCTGTCCAGTCCGTGCCAAAGCGTGCCACATTGATTTCGAAATCCTGTAATTCAGAGATATCCCAGTAGCTAGATGGGCTAGGTTTCGCACCCGTGGTCGATCCAGCGACTTGTTGGATGTCTTGTCCTGCTTTTGCTGCTTGCAACCGTAACTCGCGTACTCTTGTTCTACCCTTATCGGTCAAACTCCAGATCTGTTCGCCAGCCTCACTAGAGATGAATTCGTTGGCTTTCAGGTACCTAATCGCAGGCCATAATGCGTCAGTTGAAGCTTGGAACTCCTTGACCATGGAAAGGAGCAGTGGTCTGCCGCCTACGCGATTCATGTATATCAAGACTTGATCAGCCAGAGCATCTGTACCAGCAACGCTTGGTTCCTCTGGCTGGCCCTCTTGATATGATGTACGAAGCTTGGTGTTTGGTTGCGAGATAACCCATGTCTCGCCATCAACAGTGTTGTGAACTTTTCCTTCTGCTGCTAGCCTTCGCAAAGCATGAGCGATGGACGTAGGGTGAAAGTGTATGAGGGCAAAAGCGATCTCCCTGAAGTTCTGGCCTATGTACGAGCCAGGTCGGGTCTTAATATCATCATCATCAAGGTAGGCAAGGATCTGTGTGTCTAGAGTAAGCTCCCCTGACTCTGGCTCCAAATCTGCTGACGCACTGCCCGAATTGGGTGTAGGGTCTCCGTGCGCGACGTGCTGTGGATCTGTGTCTTCGCCGGTGCGGTGTTTTTCATCTACCTGTTCTTTGATGTCGCGCAGCCTTTGGTTCGATTCAGGATAAGACAACGCATCGAGAGCTTCTCCAATGTCCTCAGGTTGTGCAACTGGCACAATCGGCGGTGTCGGAAAGCGTATTCCCAAATCTCCGAATCCTGTACTTCCCCAATCACCAGACCGGCTATTACGATCTGTACTTCCCCAACCGCCAAAGATGCCATTACGATCGATGGCCTGTTGAAGCATATCAAATACTGCATCCGCATCAGACTTTTCGTCGCTGTGAAAGTACCACGGGCCCCTCCCTTCGTATCCTTCTTCTTCGTTACTTCCATAATTCCACACGCGCAAAAATGATGTGTTCGAGAAGTTGAACCTGCCGTTATCAGTGCCACGTGCCAAGTCCGAAGAAGTATGTTTGAGGTCTATCGTGGCAAATGGTCGGTCTAAACGACCACTCTTTTCAAATTCCACGATGAGTTTGCTCTTGTAGACATATAGGATGCAGTCCGTCCAGTTTGGGGTGTTGGGTGGTTCGAGAACCTTGACTCGAATGACAGCACGTGGCCCCGCATCTGGTTCAACAACATTCGCATCCTCGGCTTTCGAAGAGTATGTGGCCTTGTCCTCCGTCTGTGTTCGGTCGTCCAGCTTCGCAGAATCGGGCTTGTTGTCAGCAGATGGATCTTCAAGGTCCTCCCGTCCGCTTTCCAAGGCAATCGTCGCTTCCGGGCCCGTTGTCTCCTCAACCTCCGCTGTTATCTTCTTCTCCCGATCTTGGCGACCACGATTGATAGCTCGTTTGAAAAGCTCGAGAAGCGCGATTGAATCAGCAACTTCAGAGCTACGAAAATGCCATGTTTCTCCCTGGTCTGGTTCTTGCGGTAGTGTCCATAAAGACACTATCGTGCCTTTGCCGCCGTCCACATTTGCGACAGTATCGGTAAAATCTATGCACGCAAATGCAGGAAACTCTCCGTATAAATCAGGATGATCGTACCCAGAGTACATCTCAATCTTAGTCCTGGAAATTCGAACCCATGAGTAGAACCAGTCTCCAGTATCGGTGTGTGGGGACAAGACTTCCACGCGGACCACCGCAGGTTGCTCTGTAGCCTGCGCAATATTGTTTGGGTCGTTTGGTACCGAAGGATGCTCTGAGACAGGCCTATCAGGGTCTGCCGCGTCAGGGTTTTCGACGTGAGCAGATGCATCCTCAATGACATAACGTCCGCCTTTTGCAACGGTGGAGAGTAACAGCATCGAGCTGGGCAATCGCTCCACTGGTATCTCCAGCTGTTCACCTGGACCCGGCTCGTCTGCTTTGCTGTACACAAGTGCATCTTCAGACATCTCCGTTCGCTGTAGTACCGCTTCGGCGAAATGGAAGCCGGGCTCACAGAGTTTGTGGGTTCTCTCATAGAGACCGTTTTCGCACACTTTGCAAGTTCCGACATGTAGTTCAAAGTCCATCAAAGTCTTGGCTTCGTCGTCATTCCAAGCCCGTGACCTTACTGGTTGCTTGCCAAATAGAACACTACGGGTAGTCTCTTCTCCAGGGATGGACGTGGAAGGCTGATCCGTGGGAACCGGTAATGACGAAGAAGAGCTTTCCTCGACCTGCGCAGGCTGTTTCGCCAAGATAGTAGGCGATGAATTACCTTTCGTTGGCGGAAAGTAGACCGGCAAAAGGCTCTTGTAGACGAACTCGTCATTCGAGGAGAACACAACGAATATGATCTTATCAAGCCCATTACCCGGCTCAGCAGATTCCAGAAAGCGTTTCACTTCCTCCATGGCCAATGATGCGCAGTCGCGCCGCGGGTAGTTCCGCATACCAGTTCCGATACTCGGTATGGCAATGGAAGTTGCCCTCATGAGTACGGCATCGTGCAAGATTGCCCGGTAGATATTCCTCAAGACGTTCTTGGTATCGCTCCTAAACACTCCAGGCGGAACGACATGGAGGATGTGTTTGGCTGGGAGAAGGTATCCGGCAGTCGCTTTGATGTCGCCTTCTTCACATTTGCCGAAAGCCGAAACTTCCGAGCGCAGTTCATCGCCTCCTTTCTTGAAGATGCTGCGATCTAGAGTGCCCATGCCGGAGAAGCTTGGATCGGTTGAGTTTACCACGATGTCGACTTCCAGCCTCGTGATATCCTCTCTCAGTAGGCACACAGTGTGGTTGAATAGAGTGGATGGTTTCGCCATGGTAGGCTTCGCTTCCAGTTGGCCCAGTATGTAGAGCCTCGCGACGGGGGGTATTTGATGGATTTGGATGAGTCCGCGAGTTTTGGGGGTAGGCCGTTCAGCCTCACGCACGTACAGTACCTCATCCAGATGATCGCGGATACCTTTGGCATCTTGGCCCTTTTGTTTGACACCGTAGGTCTCCAAGATCTGACGCGCTCTTCCCATCGCATCTGGTTCTGCTTTGCCAAGTATCAGGACCTCTTCTAAGCTGTTGGCGAAGATCCAGCTGTAGTCAAAGACACTTGTAAGCTCGAATCCATGCTTGGCTCGTATATCGGTGTTGGCTTCGGTCCAGATAGACTGCGTATTCCCAGCAGGGCCCTGTTTACGTGCTCGCTCGGCCATATCCATAATGTCAGCACATGCCGTAAAAATGACGGAGCATAGTAAATTGAGGTCGCCCAGACTCCGCTTGAGCTCCTTCGAACCTAAGAGATGTTTGCGGATCGAACTCAGCGTAGAGTCAATCCTACGCATGTCGTGAGCACAGACCGTACTTTGCGTGCCAAAGTCGTAGGTAACAGTGATTGCAGTCAACGCATTTTGAAGTTGCGTACGTGCCTCTAGTACCTGAGCTGCCAGCGCAGCACGGTTCGCAGACCAGTCTGAAGTTCTGGCTCTGTCCAGGTCTCCATGTGTGGGTGGGAAGAATACCGGTAGAAAATCGGTATATGCCTTCTCATCGACTGCTGCCCGTACACAGAAGATGATGCGCTCAGGCCGATGTGTAGGATGTGAATCCAGGTATTCCCTGATCTCTTGCAGCGCTATACGTGCAGCGACACGTGCAGGGAACATGCAACCCCCGGTACCCAGGCAAGGAAAGGCGATTGTTTTGAACTCGTAGTTAGCCGCCATTCTCATGGCACTCCGATAGCACTCGGAAAGAACGTTGAATTGGCCAATCCCTTTACGGCCTGTATATCCTGGTGCAGCTGCATGAATCACCCATGAGCTTGGAAGATTGTGGCCGTGTGTGAGCTCGACCTGGCCCACTTTGACCTTGGCTTTTGATCTCGCCTCTTCTCTGAGACCTGATCCGCCGGCTTTATAGATAGCGTGATGCAGAGAGTCTGGGTCAGGATTGGCCTGGAAGTTACCTGAAGCATTGCTGACAATGGCATCCACCCTCAATCTCGTCAGGTCGTAATGACAGAACGAGATCATCTGATTGTAAGTATCGTTTGGCGCAAAGCTTTGATCGCGCTGCAACAGCCGCCTGGACTGATAAAGCGAGCGTAACGTAGGGATCTCGGCAGTCGTGATGATTGGTTGTTTGCTTGATTCTTCGTCTTCTTCGTCATACTTGTCAGACCCGGATGGAAGAATCTCGGCTTCTTCAGTGGTCTGTGTATCCACCGTTGGCTGGCGGACGAAGGAGCCGTCCTTCTCTATAGCAAAATTTCGTCAGTATGCCGTTTATATAGCAAGCTTTCGTGAATCTCATCTAGAAATCGACTTACTGCTCGTGCCAGCGATTCTGGTGAATGTCCACTTGCTTTTGTTCTTTTTACTCTTGAACACAACGTTGGGGAATCGTTGAGCGTCAAACAGCGCAGTTGCTTGTTCGCCCACCAGATCATCGACAAACGTGATAAGGCCAGTCCATGAGCCGTAGCCGCGATAGAATCGAACCGATAGAACTCCTGGTAACGATGAGACGTGTTGCCTAAACGCCTCCCGTTCTTCCAGATGTTTCTGGTGCTCGGGCAATATGTTTTCATCAGGCTGTTCATTGTCGGGTTGCTCGTCTTCCGAGTCGTCCAGGTCGTCCACTTGATTTGAGAACATTGCCAATCGATTTTGACTTTCGTCTGGAAGTTGCTGTAGCATCTCTGCCGACAGCAGACCTCGGTCTGTCCCGGCTAGTTCAAGTGAATGCTTTCTCAGTGCCCCATACAGTCGATCTAGTTGAAACTGGAGTTCGAGCGGGCGGCAGTCCCTGCCAAAGGCTTCCCGAAAGCGATCTGCGATATCATGTGCTGGCATGTGCTCTTTGTACTCAAGCTGTACTAGTAGGCGGTCTTCCTCACTAATCCCAGACTTAAGATACAGCTCGACATTCCGCTCTCTTAACTGCTTGGCACGCATCCGGAGTGCCGGAATTCGGTCGTGGTGGCTTTTGCCAAAGACTTCTGGAAAGCGCGCTGTGATATCCGCCCCCTGCCCACCCTCCGTTCCCATGAGATGTAGTAGTAGCCGGTCTTCCTCACTGAATTCAAACTCAGAAGACTGCTCAGAATCCGATCCTCGATTGAGTGCGACCATCTCATTGCTTGAACCGTTACTTATCGACTCGGGTAAGGATTGAGAATTCGAGCTCCCACGACTTGCAACGCTACTAGCACCGTCTTCGTCGTCTTCCCTGCCATGCGGCAAGGCAAAAGTAGCCAGACGTTCCAGATGATTTGCAATGTGGCTCTGCAAGTCGCCCAAACCTTCAGTAACCGTAGGCACAAAACATATCGGGCACTTTTCCCGCGAATCCGCGGCTATGGTCTCTCCGATCTTAGCCATGATAGCTATTTGATCGTCGGGGAAGCTACCGATATGTTCTTGTCGAAGGTGGTTCTCAAGACCAGCTTGGGTGTTGTACAAGGCGTTCACATGTTCAGGGCAGCGCCAAAGCTTGCGATGAGTCGCTTCGTGTTCCGCCCACTCTCGACGACTACGGAAGAGCAGTTCGGAACTCTCGCAGTCCCGGTGTGTACAAATGTACGGCTGGAGGTCTTGTAGCAGATGTGTCTTCCATGCTCGGCCTTTGCCATATCGTGCAGGGCAGACGATCCAACAGTATGGGCACTCGAAGTCTTTGTCGCAAGTAGCAGCCTTTGGAGGCGGTGGTAGATCGATTCCTTTTCCATCTAAATCTTTCACGGTGACTGCGTAGCTGGTCACGGATTTGGTGTCCACAATATCATCTAGAGATTGATGATGATGTGTCGCCTCCGTACCAGATAGCAAGGTTTTCCCAGTCTTTTGACTCGGCGTCGGCTTTGGGGTATTGATCGTTGGCATCGGCTAAGACTGAAATTAGACCACGTTCAAAATAGTGCGTTAGGAGACAGCTGATGGGATAGTACGTACTGGGTGAGCTTCAAGAGTGTCGTGACGCATCGGGGCTGGCGCTTCATTCGCTGTAGGTTTGCCAGCATCTGCTATGTCTTCGGAATCTGCGGAAGCGCCCAACTTATCACGATCTATCATAGTCAGCCTGTGCAAGATGTCGCAATATTGCTTGTCGAACTTACGACGCTTCCAATACTTGAAATGCCGCCTTCGCAATGTAATAGAAGAGCTCAACCGCTCAGTCAAGAAGTCCTGGTCTTCATCATTCTGTGCAGGATGCGTCTTCCGTAGCTGCGAGAGTAGCTCTCGAACATGCTTTCGATCCAGTTCAGCGTACACACCGAGGATATCCACACCAGTTTCTGGATCCACTGGCGTGTAGGCAGAGGCTTTGAGCGATCTTGAGCGTACTGTCGGTGTCCTAATGCGGACGCTGAGCTTGTAGAGGTTGTCGATGATATCCACGATTTCTTCATATCTCATCCGCAACTCGCTTCTAGGCTCGTCGCTGTCAGAGTCTTGTTCCTCTTCCTCGTTGGACGAGCCACGGTCGCTATCATCGTCAGAGCCCTCCGATGGCGTTTGCTGTTCATAAGGCAGGCGCGCCTCGGAAACGATAGCATGTGTTTCATTCAGATTCTGCTCAAGCTCATTCAGTAGCCTGAGAGCGCTGCTGAATAAGACGGGGGATCCGCGTAGCCTGTAGTCGAGCGAGCTGTGGCCTTTCTGCAACGCTCCCAGATTGCCAGCCCACACTCTGAATCTTCCGACCTCATCGTCGAGTGTTTCGCTTTCAATCCATTGTGACCACTTCCCGTTGCTTGCGTCAAGAGCTTCGGTCAGTATCTGGAAAGCGCGTACATTGGAAGCTGTCGCAAGCCTGAGAGTCGACATTATGGGCGCTCGGCATGTCGGAGCTGGCGCAAGCGAGGGGAGCCTTGAAGTGCGGCGGCGATCGCACGACCCCAACGCTGGAGTGGTTGTTGATGCGCTGAGCTACTGGTAGCCCAGACCAACTGAGTCGTTGATGCCGACGAAAGGACGGCAGGCAGATGCTCTTGTTACTACAACCTCGACTGCAATGGGATGGTTGATGGTAGGCGGTTAGTCAGCACTCGTGTTGTCAGCGTGCAGCCTGAAGGCTGCGATGCTAGGATCTTTCAGGATAGTGGGGGCGCAATTCAGGCGCCTCGCGAGCAGTGTTACCTTCTGCTGTCGTAAACTCTTGCTGCTCGCGAAATGAGACACTTATGTCTCCTCTGCCTTATCGCTCGCAACGCAGTCATTATGTCTTAGCTGGGAGTTGTGTTCTTCGCGTGATTGCCTGACAGCCCTGAACCCCGCTCGGCCCTCGCTCCTTCCCTCGCCAACCAATGACGCGCGACATCGCCATTGATTCGAAGAACAGGCAATCGCGACAATGAGCGGCATTGAGGTCGCTGGCCTCGTACTTGGCGCTTTGCCGTTAATTATACAGGGTGAATTTCGTCCTTGAAGCGAGTAATGCGTAGCAACAACGGGCTGACCGCGTGCTAGCGATAACGTCCTACAAAGAAGGACTCGATCCTGTCAAGGGCTTCTGGAAATGGGATAAAGAACTGCCCAAACTCATCAGAAAGCTTGGAGCTCAGCATGACCAATTCAATCAAACCATCCAGATTCTCTTCGGATCCATCACGACAGATGCCGAATGGCTGAAGATGACAGCTGATCCCAGGGCTTCGCTGGAGCTATGGAAGAGCAAGGAAACGGCGCTTCAGGAGAAGCTTCAAAACACGTACAAGTCCTACCAGAACACCATGGCGGAGATCGAGAGAATTATGACTAAGATTGCAAACAAACTGGATCTAGACAAAGCGGCTGAGCTTACCCGGAACGATCTGGAGGCCATTCTTGCCGCACATCCTAAGAAGGCTGATGACACATTCGAATTCGGCAAGCGCGTAAAGTTCGCCATGAACAAAAAGAGCGTCAAAGGGCTTCTCGATGAACTTGACGAATGCAATCGACAGCTGGAAAGATTCACGGAAAAGAGCGAAAAGATTGAGACGTTTCACAAGGCTACGAAGCCGTCATACGCTACGCGCTTACAAAAGCTACAACGATATGCCAAGATTTTACACGAGTCGCTCAACTTGTGCTGGTCTTGCGCCTGCAAGTCTTCTCATACGGCGAGCCTGCAGCTTGAGCCCCGCGAGAGCGTATTCGCGTCAAAACATCACAAAATGTACAATTCGGCGAAAACAAGTTTCAACGTTTCTTTTTCGACCATCTCGTCGGATAGCCATGGAGCGCCCTGGTTGTTTCAGGCTGCTGAATTCCATGTAGACGACGAAGAAGAGGAAGGCTGTCTCACACCGATGCCTTCTCCTAAACCCAGGGTAACAAAGAGCGTCAGCTTCGGATCGCTTCCTCCATACGCAGTCTTAGATCCCGGAACAAGTTCCTTACCTTCTTATGAAGAAGTCAGCGACTTGTGTGCATCGATCCAGCAACTACACAAGACGTCTTCCACTATCGGGTTCTCATTGAACAGCAAGAGCAAATTACGAGGCGCCTACTCGGTTGACAGCGCAGACGCATACATTCCCAGTACAGAACTGATATCGCTCGAGACCCTACTGGAGCGCCCGCCAGTAGTTAACGGAAGGAAGTCTAAGCTGAGCAAGAAGCAGAGGCATAGCTTAGCCTTGACTTTGGCGTCTAGCATACTTTACCTGAACTCAACACCATGGCTTACCAGCAAATGGACAGCGAAAGACATCTTCTTCCACCAAACATCAGATCCCACTCGCCCAATTGATGTCACCCGTCCATATCTCGCCCCAAGCCTGTTCGATATTCCAAAGGATGGAGAGAAGAAACCGAAGCCAATGACTTTCGAGAACAACATACTACTTGCTCTCGCTGTAGCATTGCTCGAGCTTTATTTCGGCACCACTGCTGAGAAATACCAGGAATCTGAGATCAATGACGGTGTCGCCAACGCACCAGTGCCAGAGGAGTGGAAACTGCTTACATTGGTGCACACTTGGTCGCGCAAAGAGGCTGAGGAAATGTCTGCTGCATTCCAGAGTGCTATCGCTTATTGCAGCAATCCCATGGCTAGCTTACAGAATGCCGACTGTCTCCAAGCTGCAGTTGAGAATATTGTGCTACCGCTGCAGGAGGAGCTCAATCAGTTTTTGGGCAAGACATTGGGTTAGCGCAGCGCTCTAGCTATACGAGCAGAGTGGTTTCCACACAGCATCAACATCAAGGATCTTATCCATGATGCTGGCACTCACCCAAATACCAGCATAAAGCATTTTAAGAAGTGAGCAAAGCGTGAGGAAAAGGCGCCAGAAACAGATGGAGCCGCGCCTCCCAACTACATGCCGGGTCGGGACGAAGGCCGCTTACCCAACGCGCATCAGCTCGTATCCGACCCACGCGGCGGGCAATACGACTCTGGGGTAGATCAGGCCAACTAGTGCGGCAAATCCCCGAAGCCAAACTGAACGTCGCAGGTCGAGCGGCGAGGTCAGAGGTTGCGATGGAGGAAGAAAAATTTATCCACAATAGCCACATCGGTTACCATGCGATGTGGCGAGAGAGGGCGGGGCCTAAAAATAGGAGTATGAGCAAACAGCCTCACAAGACCCCCGCACCCCGCTGCTGCTCGCGGCGAATTTCGCACAAACGCATGTTCCCGGTTGCGCGGCAAGAATGTGATTCGAAGGGGTGTCATACGAAGCTTTACTAGTGGAGGAGGAGGTACTTGGCGGGGTACAAAGTTCAAGGACGGGCTCTGGTAGTACATGACGGATGCTAAGGCTGCGACGCAATTAGGGCTACATATCACAACGTAGCGGAATTCGCCGGCATGTTAATCTGAAACACTATCCAAGGCTACACTTGATCACTCGCATTCGCTCGACACAGTGCATGGCCGTCAATCTTACATGTGCAATACGTGCTTGCCGACTATCGGTCTACGTCATGAACTCTGCTGACCGCATCATGGACCGACATTAGCTGGACCCTTTGGGAGATTATGGCGGAAATTGGAGATCTTAGCGGGGGAAGCGCATTATCTGCGTCGAAGGATGCGGTAGCTGGCGAGTGAAGACGGAATAGCAAGGCGCGCATCAAGCCACGCCGGTCAGCCTTATCTACAGCTTTGGAACTTGCTAGAAATTGCTTGTTGTACGTGGCCGAAGCGTTTGACCGAGCTGGCGCGTTTGAGCATAGTGTCTGAGCATAGTGTCGGAGGTGGGATTGTTTTTCCCAAGACACGGCGAGAGCATAAAAGTGGCTCTGTTTCGTTTTACACCGCCTGGACGACGCTTGAGATGCAGCTGCACCTCCTAACGGGGAAGGGAGCGATAGCAAGCTAAGCAAGCGAAGCCACCCGGCAAAGCCTCTAGTTGGCGCGCACGACGCCGCCCAAGTCTGAAACAGGCCCACGGTTGGACGAACGGCGCCGACGTGAGGCGGCGAAAATGGGCCGCATGGGGGTTAGGGGAGAGTGAATTGGCCACAGCAAAGGGAAAGGTATGCTGTTGGTTGTGTAAAAGGAAGTCGTGGTGATACTGGGTGGCAACGGCGATACCTAGGGGTGTTAAGGTGCTATTAATAACTTAATGACCGCAAAGTCGGGGGTAATTCAAGTTGGCTACGGAGAGGGGAGTGAGGAGAGGAGGGAGCGGCAGCGTTGAGTGGTTGCAGGGCTTTGTTATGCAGGCGACGAACCATAACAACAACACAACCATTACCCTCACAACCAGCACCACGACCACTCCTCTAATTGTAGCTATTCACCCTACTGTTTGGCGTGTCCGACTACCTGTCCTGAAGCAGTGGGCCAGCAGTGCATTCAACGCTCGTCAATCTGTCCAGGGCCATCCCGGTCGAGCTTTGTCTTGGCGTGTCGGCACCCCTTAACGTCACCTGCAATCCGTTTTCTCGATTCCAATTCAAGCTCCTGCCACGCCGACGCAGCTACTTCACTCGACACCGCGCTCTCTAGCCGCCGACACTCGCTGAGACCCGGAACACTTTCCAGCCCGACAGCGCAGAGCGCACCCTCACGCTCTTTTCGCTGTTCCGCGCTCCCTCGCTCACCACCACCGCCATGGCACAACAGTACGGGCCCCCGGACTTACTGGCGCCGCTCCCCCGCGCAGCACCTGGATATGGCTAACAGCAGCGCAGAATTACCGCGTCCTTGAAGGACTTCTGGCACACGATGACGTCGTACGACCGCCACGCCTCGCACGACTCGCCCTACCGCACCGGCCGGCACATCCCCATCCCCCAGAGCCGCCACGCCGCCCTCACGTCCATCACGGCCAGCGGCGCCGAGTCCCGCACCGACCTGCACTCGCCCTACCAGCACGACGAGCTCGCGACGAGCAATGGCTTCATCGGCTCCCCCAAGGGTCCCATGTCCCCCAGCTCCCCCTACTCGCCCGGCATGCGCGGCTCCCTCAGCCGCCAGGCCACCATGGACTCGGACACGTTCCCCCAGGGCGCCAACGGCCAGATCCCCATGCAGGACTTCAACGAGGGCCTGCCCCCGCCGCCGCCTGTCAGCCACTCGTGGCGGCGCATCGACCGCTGGGTCGAGGACCACTACCAAGAGCTCTTCGACAACATGTGCGAGGGCTGCACATCCAACGACGTCAACGAGCTGGAGCACGAGCTCGACGCGACCCTGCCCATGGACATTCGCGAGTCGCTGCAGGTCCACGACGGCCAGGAGCGTGGCGGACTCCCGACCGGTGTCCTCTTCGGTCTCATGCTGCTCGACTGCGAGGAGATTGTCATGGAGTGGAAGAACTGGCGGAAGGTCGCCGAGGAGTATCTCACCACAAAGGTCGACTACCGCACACCGCAGATCCCAGTAAAGGCCTTTGCTGGCTCCTCCACCGCTCCCCCCGTTGCCACAGTCCAGAGCACAGGCAACCCGCTCTGGCGACAGGACCTCCTCGCGCGCCAGGACTCACAGCCCCAAGGCGCAGTACAAAAGGCATATGCCCATCCCGCGTGGATCCCTCTCGCTCGCGACTGGGGAGGCAACTACCTTGCTGTTGATCTTGCCCCTGGTCCCAATGGCCAATGGGGCCAGATCATCATTTTCGGCCGCGACTACGACACCAAATACGTTGTCGCGCGCTCATGGGGCGCTCTGTTGGCCATGGTCGCAGATGACTTTGCCTCGAAAGACGTATCCATGGATGAGGAGACGGGCGAGCTGAAGCTGCTAGCTTTCAAGCGCCAGAACGTAGAGCCGCCCTACCTAGAAGTCCTCCGCTGGCGGTGTGACCAGAAGCACGGCCGCCGGCCACCCAAGAGACGCCCGAACAGTGGTCTGCGCGTCAACCCCAATGCGCCGGGTATGGTCGTCCCCAGTAGCACTGCGAGCAGCCCCTACCACAGCCCTGTAATGGGCCCCGAAGACCGCGGCCGAAGCCCCCACCGCCTATCCAAACCGCCCAAGGGCGTCAGCCCACGAGGCAAGCTCTCCAGCCCGCTAGCCCGGGTCGCAGAAGAGAACCCAGCACCCATCCGCGTGCACACCAACCTCGACTCCAAGACCGCGACTCCCCAAGAGAACCTCATCTCCATGGACACCCCGCGACCAAGCGACGAGTTCCCTGCCGCCCGCCTGCCCACACCGCGTGATAGCCTCAGCAGCGACAAGGAGAACAAGGAGGTCAAGGACGATAAAGAGAGCAAGGACACGAAACCAGCTGCCCCCGCCGCAGCCGCTCCCGCGCGCTCATCGCTGAAGAGCCCTGTCACTGCCACTGAGGCGGAAGACCTCAAGACCGTCGAGATATAGGAATCGAGGCGTAATCATTTGCCCTTCTACCACCACCACCATCACAATAACAACGCTTCCCACCATTGATGAATCTACTACTTTTTTAGAAAGAGAGCGAGCGAGACAGAAAGAAACGGCTGGATACCTAAGGGACAGAACCAATATACACGTTTATGGAGTAAGCAACGGCGTAGCAAAGGGAAACTTTGGGTGGCGGGAATCGGTGTGGGGCGCGGATTGGGGATTAAAGCATGTGCAAACATTAATTCTTTCTCACGGTCTTGACTGAAGTGTGTGTGTATTGATGCGAGCATTTTCCCATTCCTTCATTCCCGATTTTCAAGGTTCTTTGCTGCGGAAGGAATGGCTGAGGAAGGCCGATTCTGTGCACATGGGCGTTTCTCTTCTTCGAATCTTCGATTCTTCGATTCTGGCTGATTGATTGAATGCAACTGTTTACTATTTCTTCTTCTTTTCTTGCTTCACATGTAAGAACTTCAGCGGATGCGCTATCTAGTACGCACGTTTATGTGGAAATGTAACAACACAGTACAATGTCAAATTGATTTTCTCACACGCAAACAAAGATTATCGACTGTCGTTCGTTCGTTACCTGTACGACACCTTGTACCAAAGTGTTTTCGCAGGTTCACCATGACTACCATATTTCCTTTTTCTCTCTCCGAGGTATCTCTCTATGCTTCTTTCGGTGTTTTACGCTTGGCCCCCGCTCTGTCCCAGTCGGGGCTACCTGAGCACATGTAAACCCACTTGGGGCATATTTGCTTCTTCCCGTCTGCGCCATTACTCGGCTATCCATATCCACTTGGTAGCTATCTTGCTTCTTCCCGCGCCCCCTCTTTCCGCTTCGACCTTCCGGGAAGTTTTGTAACGTACCCGGTTGTTTCGGGGGTTGCTATTCTGGGTTGAAACTTGTCTGTGTGTCTGGGTGAGTGTTTGGAGGGGGGTTTGTTGAGAAGAGGAGGAGTGAAGGGGGTGGTTGCGATGGAAGAGAAGGGGTTGGTAGTATCCAGGCGTGTTGGACGATGGACATGGCATGGAATTCGGTAGTTATGTCCGCGGATGCTGGTCATGTGGTACTTGAGACTTGGCTGTGCTGGTGGATTATGCAGCGGGGAAGGATGGACATGGAGCTTGTTCGGGACTTGGTTCCTTAGTACATGGTACAGTATGTCGACTTCGCTGCTGGCATGTGGGAATGAGGATACCGATTGCTGATTTGGACAGAGCGGGGTGTTTACTGTGCCTCGTGACACAGTCTCTCTGCTTTGTTCGCATGGCGAACAGCATGTGAGTCAACGAAACGGCGTGAATCAGATTCTAGATTTGACTGCAGTCGCCTCGCTCCTTCCTTCCTCTACATGAACATACTTT